TGGTTTGTAATATGGCATGACTAGAACAGAGATTGACCTATTTATGAATGTATTTATCAAGCATTTCTATAGTATTTACTTTGTGCCAAACATTAGTCTGAACTTTAAAAAATATAAATATTAGCTATCATAACAAAACTATGAGATAAGCACTAGTATCAGTCTCACTCCATAGAACAAGCCAACCACAGTGGAAGACCTCCTATGCCCACTAGTGATGTATCTCACTCAAGATTTTGCACTTGAAAGAAAAATTTGTAATGTCAAGAAAAATTTCTTTACAAAGAAGTCTGCAGACTTCAATGCTGCAGCCCACTACCTTGAAATTAGATCTTACGATTATTACAAGTTTGTTTGAGTGGACATGGGTTACAAAAAGGAGACGGAAAAGATCTAAGAAGGGGACAGAATAACACCATTTTAAATACCACTGTGGTTGGAATTTTTCCTCACTATAATTCTAGTTAAAATAATTTGATTCTAATAAAGAAGGTCCCTCTTCCTAGGAAATGTATTAATACTTTATTCCATTTACAAAGGCATGAGAGTGCAGACTGCTCTTAGTAAGCAAAAAAAAAAAAAAAAAAAAAAAAATCGGGAATTCTGTCTGGATAGGAAACCCTTCTAAGCAAGGTAATTATCTAAGGAAAGAACTGTTCAGTAGGTCTCCAAAATTCCACTGAATTTGATGAAATCCAGCCAAGGCTTAATTTTAATCATTCAAATTCATCAAAACTCTCTGTATCATAACTATTTTATAGGATACATCTTTTCTTATTAAACTATTAAGAGGTATATTTTTTATAAAAATAAGTAATGAAAGTCATTCCAACCTTGTATTTTTCATTCTGGAAACCTCTAGACATGTTATATTAAGAAGCTATGGGTATACACCCAAAGATTTATAAATCATTCTATTATAAAGACATATGCACACATATATTTATTGTAGCACTGTTCACAATAGCAAAGACTTGGAACCAACCCAAATGCCCATCAATGACAGACTGGATAAAGAACATGTGGCACACATACACCATGGAACACTATGCAGCCATAAAAAGGATGAGTTCATGTCCTTTGCAGGGACATGGATGAAGCTGGAAATCATCATTCTCAGCAAACTGACACAGAACAGAAAACCAAACACTGCATGTTCTCAGTCACAAGTGTGTATTGAACAATGAGAACACATGAACACAGAGACGGGAACATCATACACTGGGGCCTGTCGAGGGTGGGGGACTAAGGGAGGGATGGGGCGGTGGGGGGATTGGGGAGGGATAGCATTAGGAGAAATACCTAATGTAGATGGCGGTATGATGGGTGCAGCAAACCACCATGGCACGTTTATACCTAGGTAACAAACCTGCACATTCTGCACATGTACCTTAGAACTTAAAGCATAATAAATAAATTTTTAAAAAGAAGCTAACAAATCCAGACATACTTTATATATATTTCTTTATTTTTCAGAATACCTTCTAACTCCTTTAGATTTATCTAACTGATTCTTATCTAGAAGTAAATATCTAAGAAGCATGGAAGTACAAACTTATATTAGTAGAGATAATGTAAGCTATAGTGCTAGAATGACCATCTGTGAAGATCAACTGGATTCAAGTAGGATTATATTTAAACTGTTTGAACAAATATCTTTCTAACTTTTCTTCAAATATCTTCAGAAGAAAAAAAATCAACAGTTTCTGCAGTAATACAATCTCTGGGTTTTATGTTTGGCTAAGAGATGCTGTATTAAAGAGTAGGTGAATTGTTTACCTCATGATAATTTGGGACTACAAGATTGTTGTAATCTAATCAAAGGAATGAAGCTAATCATGGAAAAAAAGTGCTTGTTTTTTATTAGCAAGTATCGTTTATTTTCTCTGGAGGATACTGTGAATATGAATAAAAGATTACTTGTCTTGATTGCTTGCTTGACCCATATTTTCGTCTTTGTTCTGTTTGTTTACAAAACCATTTCTCACTCTTCCTCTGCTCTGTTCTGTGTCATGGTCAACCCCAGCAAGACTCTGTATGTGCTAGCTTCTTGCCAGGCTTGGTCAAAAGGAGGTACTGGAAATGGATTGAGAGTCAGAGAAGGGGATGATGGGAAGATGGGAGAAATCAGGATATTTCCCTCTCTCCATTCCCAAGCAGTAATTCTGGTGACCTGCATTGCTTCAGATTCTACTAGACAGGTTTGCCAGATGGCTTTGGTACCTGGGTCCTGGTAAACCATCTCCCCTGTGCATTTTCACCTTTCAAACCTAAGCATCGTAGCTACTTGCTGCTGCTGCAAATTCTTGGGTTTCCTCTTTGCTTAGTTTGGCTTTCTAGCTCCTTTTTCACCTGTGTTACTAATTGCCTGGAAAAAGCCTCTCTATTTGAAATACCCAGAGTACAGAGTACTGTGTGTTTTTCTGACTAGATTCTGACTGCTGCTACAAATGATAAATAACCTCTTCCCCAAAGGGATCTGCAGCAGCTTACAATAAAGGTGAGGACCATTCTACCAAAAGAAATTGAAATACATTTAAGTCAAGAGGTAAATATAGTGACTGAAAGATAGACATATACATGGTTTGAAATGTATAAATTAAATGGGTTTTTCTTTTTTTTTTTTTTGAGACGGAGTTTCGCTCTTTTTTAATGAGAATATTTAACTCGGCCATTCCCCCTTTGAATCTTAATATTTAATGAAATTAATTTAAATACATTTGTCAGAACAATATGAGATGAAAATACGTTGGTGGAAGTAGAGGCTTTAGGACAGTCAAAGAAGCAGATCATTCAGTATTAGGCCAAGATTTGGGCCAGGCCAAGGTCTGCCTGGACTTAAGGGCTATCACAAGTATCTACTATATATGTAAGACAAATGCAAGTCACATATGCAGGCACTGTCATATGAATTCCCAAGTTTATAAACAATTTCATTTCTGCCTCTTCCTCTCAAAAAATACATCACAAAGTCTAATGCATAGTAATGATATTATATGGATAGCCTTGAATTCTTTTAATTTGTCTTAAAAATTAAATAATTCACAACTTTTGATATTTCATTTTAGTAATTAGACACAGAGGTAACAAGTCATCGAAGACTCATTTATGTAGTATAACATATGGAGAATATCTGGCTTGCACTAGTTGCAGGCACCATATAATTGTCAGAGTTGTTATCTCACTTGGAACTCATAGGTGTAACCCGTATGTTTTTTAAACAGCATCTTAAAAATAAACTGGAATTACAATATGTTATATACCAATGGCCATGGTCACATGTGCTTTCAAGAGTAATAACATCTGGAAATGAAATGACCAGTAATTTAAAAATGTTCTGTAAACTATCAAAACTTTGCTTTTCTGTCGAGTCCAAAACAAATTAATTGTATTAACTATTTGACTAATAAGTTTCAGATTTATTAGTAAAAATATCCACAGTGAATAGATGCAAAATGCCTGATTGTATCTTCACAAAAGGGACAACATAGTATTTAAAGAACAGGCTGATATACCTTTGTATAATCAGGTGTATCCAATAAATTCTAAATTTTACTGAATCAGGAAAGGAATCCAATTCATACTGCAAGGAAGTAGCATCCTTAAGTTAAATCTTTCATAAGCAAGTTAACATTGTTGCATTCAAGACTAACATTAGGCAAAGTCGGCCACCTGTCTCAGAAAGGCTTTATGTTATCACAAGTTTGCAGAAATGAAGAAGACACATGAATCAACAAGAGTACCTCCCAACCAGTACAAAAATACAATGATTGCATGGCCTGCTAAAGTCACCAAATGCTTTCCTTTTGTAACATAAATTATAGCATTGAAAAACAAAACACATTTTCATGTAATGTATTACTTCATTAAAGTGAAAGTTCATGAAAGTAGAAACATTTTTAACTTGGTCAATTTTCTCACTGTTTTTGCCCCTTGCAAGGTTCTCAATAAATATTTGTTGCATTAAATAAATATATGAATTAGTTAATTCCATTCTTACTTTAATTTTAATGTCTCAGGTGTTAAGTGACTATATAAATGGCTGATTTGTTAAGACTATCATTTAAATTAGAATATATTATAAAAATCAAGTCCAGCTTCATTAGAGACCATTATGAAGGCTCAGTCACCTCCACAAAATCTCTCTCACTTCTAGAATGATTTTACAATCTTCTAGTATATCCAGTGGGGATAGTTAGACATTCCACTTATGAAAGCTGGATCTCAGGAGTTAAATCTGTTCAGACTTCTTCTCAAAATTTACTCCTCATACCATGAAGAACTTACAGATGCCAATATTAAAAAAGAATGTAACAATCTACACAGGTGGATGTTCCTTTTGGCAATTTACAATAGAGACCAAGAATCTATGTGGTCTGGCTGACCAAACTTTCCTGGAAACAGTCACTGGACATAAAAGAAAGCCGACCTTGTTCCTGCCGGTTTCATTCTTTTCCAGGAATAAACTCACAAGTAACCCTTAAGCAAACGCTCCCCAGTGACATACCCTAACCATTAATCTAATTCTCTTTCCATAAAAAAGCAGAAAATGTCAGCCCCATAACCTTTAAGAGACTGAACACATTATCAGAGTCATTAAAACATAACAGTTTTTGAAACAAGGCCAAATCCAAACCTTTTGCACTTTTTGTTCCCACTCTAACAATCACCTGACTCCTATTCAAATATTTGGTAGGGACTACAAGCAAATCATGTTGTTTTTTCTTACTAATTGTTCTAATTAAGCACCCATGTAACAGTAGCAAAATATATTGAAAAACAACACATGTAACGGAGACTAATGCATGGGATTTCAGAGCATTGGGATGTGTCTAATCTAAGCATTTGCATGCTGTCCATCTTCTATGTGCTGCAAAAATGAATCCTTTGGTTGGAAGTGACTGTAATAGAACAAATATCATTGAGACTCTGCCAGCACTACAAACAACTACCAATTCTATAACGTGATCTTCTTTTTTTTTTATCTCCTTCCATAAAAGAAACTAAGGCAACAAGCAGGATACATCCTGCTGAGTTCCCTGGGAGGAGACCTCTCTTCTATAATCAAACTCAACAGAAACAGGCCCTTGCTTCCGAGACATCAAACGTAAATAGGCTCCTCTTCTGCAGAAAATAAATAAGCAGATATCAAAGATTTGTAGAAATTTTGATTAAGACACTTTCTCAGTCTTTTCACATAGCAGACACTGTACTACTGACGTGCTGTAGCTAGAATTGGGCCTGTGGACTTTTATCTCTGCCTTCGAATTCAGTTATATTCACATTAATTTGGATACTCAATAAAAAATTAACAAAATAGTGATCCTTGCATGAACTGAATCTTTGACTCAAAAACCTCATTCATATAATACTATTTTTTTTTCTGTCACCTCTTTCTTCAAGAATGAGGTTCAAATTCCCTCCACAAATTGAGGTATAAATAATTCCTAATCAAGAATTATTTTACTCTGGTGAAACATCAAGGCAATGTTTCCTTGCCCAAGGACATCATAGCACATATTACCATAATGAAAGGAATGTCTGGGGAAAAAAGGAAAAAAAATACAATTTGCCTTATTCTTTCAACTACAGATGCCAATATCAAAAAAGAAAGTGTAATAATTTCATGTAAGTCTGAAGAGTCAATCAATGAGTGACCAAACCTCAAAGCTATGCAGAAGAATTCAAATGACTAACAACATTAGACCTATCTGGGCAAACTTCTAGCCAAAGCCCCTTGGATAAAAGTATAATAAAAGGTTAAAACTGTATTTCCTGGAAAATAAAAGCCTATTCAGAAAATGAAAAACTTGAGTAACATAATGTGATTCAATTTATTAATTTCTCTAATTTCTGCTTTGTTTTGGTGGGGTTGATTCTGCTGCCAGATCCGTTTGTCTCTTTCCTATGGTTGTCATTTTCATTCCCAAGGCTCTGCGCCCATGTTACATGCAACATAGCAAGCAGATCTTTGAAGAAGAAATTAGACCACGCTTCTGAAAGCCCAAAGACAAATTTCAGGGTGCAACAGAAGTCCTCATCCTGAAAATTTTAGTCTTGATTACCTAAGTTTTCTTAAAATGTATGCTCATACTTCCACCCCACCCCCCTACACCCCACCAAATTCATCCATTTATCTGCCATGGTCACAATCTATTTGGTCTACAGCTCTAGTAGCAACTAGAAGACAGAGCACTTATGATAAGGAAAAGACTCAGGCGATTACTATGTTCTCACAGCATCTTAGTAGCCTCACTATTAACAAATGTTAAACAAAAGCCACCATCTTAGTGTTTTACCATGACTCACACTATGAAAACTACAACCTCATTCAAGAGTGTCCTCATAATCATGTTTTAGTTGACACTGATTACATGGTCCTTGATTTGATTCATGTCAAATGCCATTACACAATGTTGAATCCCTTAACTGATCTGAAGATAACTAACACAATAGATTCAACAACATACCTCATAATCATAGAAATGCTCATTTTGCTCTTAGTAGGCATGATGGCTATCCTGAGACCTAAAGCATGACAATATTTCTCAGAAACTGAATTGGACATTGTCAAATAAAGCAACTTAAGCCAGCTGAATCCATTTGGTGTATGTAAAGCTCTTCCTACATAGCATGTGAATGCTGATTTTCCTCTCGGAAAACCCCTTAGAAATTTCAAAAGATTAGTGGTTCAAGAGTCCTCCCTCTAGCCAATGCCTGGTTTTATCTGGTCAGCCAATCTTTCACTGACACAAGAGTGGTCACCAATAAATCTCAGATTGTAATTATCCACCGGCACTTCATAAGCCTTGGCTACTCCTTTTATATCATCAGATCTCTATGGGGTTTTGTGAGGGTCCGTCTTTAATTTAGATAAAAGATTTCTCTCTGTAGGTTTCTGAAATATGCTCAGGAGAAGGATGAGTTCATTTACTCCTAGAGCCATTCTTCACTCACTTCTTTGTTTTTCATGTGGCATTTAAACAGTCTTTTGAGCTCTAAAGTCAAGGGCAAAAAAAGCAACTTCACTTGCCTCTGTGACTATAATTCAGAATCTGACACATTTGGGTGCCTACAAGTACAGAATAGCGGGTCTTGGTATCAATCAGCCAACAACAACACAAATCACTCACTCAAACTAAAACGACCCAAAGTGTAAATCCAAAGCAAACTGACTGGGTTGTGAGCAAAGGAGAACTTCCCATAAAGAAGAAAATCAACTGTCAGCCAATATTAATAGTATGCCGACAGTTAATATCAATAATTACAGGAGGTGCTCAAGGACATCTGCAAGACTGATTGAGTGCTAAGGCAGAATTCTTGTTTTAATATGTGCCGTTTTCTCATAAAAGACACTTTTCTAGACTTTGACACTGAATCAAATTAGCTAGTTTTCCTAGTAGCTAACTCAGCCTTTGAACCTCCACTTAAACGTTGCTTTCTTAAAGAAGCCTTCCATTACCCTTCAATCTATATTAGAGCCTGTGTTACATGTTGCCATATAATCTTTATTTCTTCATCATGCTTTTTACAGTTACAAACATTTATGCAATTATCTGCTTAATTCTTATCCCTTCTGCTGGATTTAATACTTCAGTAGGCAGGAACAATGTCTCTCTCATTTTCTGACACATGGAGAGTGGCCAGTGTTTGTTTATTGAATAATCAGACCAGGCTGGTTTTGAACTCCTGACCTCAAATGATTTGCCTACCTCAGCCTCCCAAAGTGCTAGGGTGAGCCACCCCACCTGGCCAACATTTTATTTTTTTTTTTTTAGAGTTAGAAATTGCATTTCTCTCTTTAAAAAAAAAAAAATTCATTTTGTTTTAAAGTAACACTACATTCATTCACAAACTTTCTAACAGAACTTTAAAAGTATACCTTAACTATGAGGGTCACACAAATCAGGTAAGCTTTATTTTTTAAAATTAATTAATAATTATATATATAGTGTACAATGTGATGTTTTGAAATATGCATATAGTGTGGAAGGGCTTAATCAAGCTAGTTAACAGATAAACTTCCAATACGTACTAGAATATTCTCCCTTGCTCCAATTTGGACTTGCTAAAACACTGTTTTCCTCAGATTTTCTTTCACCATTATTCTGGAAATTCTCTTCCTCTTCCTTCTGTTTGGCTCATGTATTTTGGATCCCATTTTTTACTCTTTCTTGGCTTACTGCACGTTTTTGCGAGCACGTCTTTCAACGATATCCTGGAAAAGGTTGTGTAGTAAGTACATTTTTTGAGACATTGAATGACTGAAACATTTTCATTTCTGCCATCATACTTTCTTTATCTTTGAGATGGAATCTTGCTCTGTTGCCAGGCTGTAGAGCAGTGGCATCATCTCAGTTCACTACAATCTTAGCCTCCCAGGTTCACATGCTTCTTCTGCCTCAGCCTCCTGAGTAGCTGAGACTATAGGTGTGCACTACCATACCCAGCTAATTTTTGTACTTTTAGTAGAGATAGGGTTTCACCGTGTTGGCCAGGATGGTCTCAATCTCTCAGCCTCGTGATCCGCCTACCTCAGCCACCCAAAGTGCTGGGACACAGGCGTGAGCCACCACACCTGGCCTCTGCCATCATACTTTATTGATAGTTTATCTAAATATGGTATTCCAGGTTGAAAATTATTTCCCCTCAAGATTTTTACACATTGCTCTACTGTTTTCTAGGTTTTAATATTTCTATTGAAAAGCTAAAAGGTATTGATACTTGAATTACTTGATATGATTCTCTCCTTCACCTTCTTTTCCTTCTTCTATTTCTCTCTCTCCCCTCCTCTTTCCTTCTGCTTCTCACTTTCTCAGATCATTAAAGATTTATTTTCTTCTGATCTGATATTCTGACATTTCACAATCCATTTTTCTATTATTGTTTTTTTCATGGATTCTTTTCTTCCTAAGCTCCTGGTAAACTCTTTCAGTCTAAAGACCTGTGTTCATCAACTGTAGGAAATATATTACTTCTTTGAAAACTTTTCTCCTTTGATTTTTTTCTGTTTTCTTTTATGGAATTCATATTATTCCATTTTGTAACTTTATGAAAGATATTATTTTCCTAAGTTTTTCTCCAATTTTTAAATTTTTTGTCTTTTGGTTCTTCTGGGATGATTACCTCAAATATGTATATATTCTAAACTTCTAATCGATTTGAAGGTTTTTCTTAGCCTGCATGTAGTTTGCAAGAGATCTATCTTGCTTAGGGATGCTCTCTTCTTAAAAGATCCTGTTCTTGTTTCAAATGCAGTATCTTCTCTTCCTGAGAACTTTAATTGCAGTCCATTTGTTTTTTAGGTTTTATTCTTCTTTTATGAATGTTGTTTCCTCTGAGTCCTCCTTTTCTACTTTTAAATTTTAGAGGTTTTCTTTCATATTAGAGGCTTCAAATGTCTGGTTTTCCCTGGCCAGCAATCTATATTTAAGAATGCAGTCCTAAAAATCAAAAGATTGAAAACTCTGCTTGGGTAATAAAAGTTGTGAAGTGATAGGTCTCTCCATGAGTGATAAGGTGGGGACCATGCTATTTCACTTGAGGAGTCCTAACGACAGTTTTTATAAGCCTTTTTATTTGAACTAATCTTATGACCCAAGGATAGGAACCCCTCTGCTAAATTATGCTGCCATCAGCATTCTGAGAGTGAAAAATGGAAAATGGGACTCCCCAGACAGAACACAGACTTTTATTCAGTCTTCTTTCAAATTCAGAGTCACACCTTGCCCTTAGTTTTGTCTACTGTCCCTGCAATAAAAACCTCCCTGTACTGACTTTGAAAAAAAGAAAGAGAAACTTCTTTTCCTCTGCTAGGGTGGAACTTAGCCTTCTGCCTAGCTGTGAAAGCTTGAGAAAATAATCTGAGAGTCTAGTTCCTCCTTAGATAGAACTATCCACCAGTCTTCCTGATTTTGGCTTCAGTGCTTAAGCTCAGTCTAGAAGTATCTAAAGTATCCTAAGACTTTGGGAGTTATGCAAAATGAATTGGTGGGCATGTTTTTAATATATCTCCAAATAAATTCTTTTTTCTTATGTGTAATTCATAAAATAATGCTTATCTATTTATAATTTTCCAAATGAAAATATTTGAATATAAGTATATGCCATGCAAAATCAAGACATTCTTACCGAAAAAATATAGTTGTTCATCTGAAATTCAAATCTAACTTGGTGTCCTAAATTGTTTTCAGTGACCCAAATATGAGGGAAGGCAGGGTAAGGAAATGTGAGGAATGCTGACATTCTCACCTTACATTGTGGGGAATCAAGAGATGGTGTCTGGATTTGATAGAACAAGAAATTGGTATT